GCAAGAGCTTGGCTGCCAAGAGGATGACAGCCTTCGCAATCCTGATCTCACGCTGGACGCGAGACAGGACGACAGGGTTGGCTCGGGGATGGACACTTGCGCCCCGCTTAGCCGCGAGGTCGGCATGAAAGTTACCTGTCCTCCGCCAAGCCTCCTGAGCAGAAATTCCTGCTTCATCTGCAGCTTTGTGCGCGGCGACTTTGACCAGGCCCTGGAGAAGGGGGCCAGCACCCGCGAAGGCTTCCAGGAACGAGCCCGCGTAGGCCCTATGCCCCCCCAGGCGGTCCCGAGGCGCCCTGGAACACACAGAAATGACCGACGCAGAATCCGGGAAACGAGTCGCTGGCCCCTCTAAATTGACACCAGCAGCAGCCAGTGCCGTGAACTCACCAGCCTGAGAGGACTGCGGCAAGTGAGAAAAGACAGGCCCTAGCACTCTGGCCAAGAGATGGCCCTGATCAGACAACAGCACAAAAGCCCAGCCAGCTCTGGACAATTCACGAATCTTAGACTGAAAACAACTGCCGTCCAGGAACAAACTGCCATTCTCGGGCCCTTGGAAGTCCAAGCCTGAATCCTGGAAACCTTCCTGGAAGAACTCCATCTTGACAGCGTCCGAGTCCTGCTGGCTGACTGGTTGCGGCACATAGTCGCCAGGATGCGCAAAGGCACCCGTCAAGAAGCTCACAAGGTCCCCAGAGTTCTGGTCATGCGCGTCCCTAGCCCAAGAGATGACCTCCTCATCCACCAGCTCCTTCCTTTCCTCCATGCATGCTTCACATTCCCATAGTCTATGAAAGACAGAATCCACCTTAGTGTGACACAGCGGGCACAGAGGGCACACTTGGTAGCCATACCTTCGTGCACGGGAGTTGGTCCACAAGGCATTGCAGGTGAGGGCACGAACGGAGCCTTTTTCCCAGGCCGAGGGTTTTTTCGAGCGGAGACCAGCCGTGACGACATCGAAACAAAGGCGATCCGATCCTTCGAGGTCGGGGGGGCTTCCGATCGGGGGCCAACTCCACGGCAGCAGGCTCATCTGGGCCTTGGACAGGCTCTGGCGGAGGAACTCCAACGCCACAAAAGAGATCGCCGTCCACCAGCTTGCCGTAGGCCGCTCTCTCGAACTGGCGCAGCACAGCCTGGCGCAGCAGAACCTTGAAAAGCGCTGGCGCGAGCTGCGAACAGGAGAGCTCTCGACCCATATCATCAGTGAAAACTACCATGTTCTTCATATCCCATCCAATCCTCCTGAGACTCATGAACATGGCACTCATCGGTCCCGAGACGCTCCTCCAAGTGACAGGTTGCTGACGACTGCGGAAAACGCTTTCCCAGGAAGCCCGAATAGTAGCCCAGTCCAGGGTACCTGGAAAGGCACTGGTCCTGAGAAGCCAGACCTCTTTGATGTAGCGCAGCACGGGCGCGACCGAGCCGTGCCAAACAGGGCCCCCTTCAATGAGCGACAGCACCGTCGGCGATCTGCGAGCGGCATCTGGCTTGATGGAGCTGGCTGCCACACGCCGAAGACTGTGAACCTCTCCGTCCGTGAGGCCCTGGGCTTCACGTCCATAAATATATCCAGGCAACGGGCCAGCAGAGAACACCTTGATAGCTTTCCTCCCAAAGTGAGAACGGAACCGCTTCAAACGAGTAGCCTTGCGCTGCATCTTGATCTTCCTCTCCTGACGCTTCCTCATCCCCCCCTTGCCCGTCCTGAAACACTTCCCAGCCGCGTCGTCGCAGCCAAGGTTGATGGCGGAGGTGTCCAGTGCGCCGAAGGGGCCAAGATCAGCCTCCAGCTGCTGGCCCAGGGCACCACAGGAGCACACTAGGGCAACCTTGTCGAGGGCGACACGGCCGCCTAACATCTGCCTGATACCCGCCAGCAGCAGGGAGGCCATGTTCAGGATGGCAGCTCTAACGAAGGACTTGGAACCGATAGCCGAGATGCTGGTGTCATCGATGTAGGCGTCGAAAGAGGAAAACTCCGAGGACTCCCGATCGATGCGGCGCAGGCTGAGCGAACGAGGAACGGTGTCGAAGGCGTCGAGGGCATGGACACGGATGAGGGAAGTGGCCATGCTGCAGCCCGCGATAATGCCGTGAGTGGCCCTCAGAGGGCCAGAGATGATGCCAGAGAGGCAGATGCATCGTGCCGACTTATATGCCGCCAGACACATGTGCAGGACTCCCAGAGGAAACTGATGCCTGCGACCTCTAAGTTCCAAGGCCTCGAGGTCGATCAGCTCATAGTACTTATACATGTCCCACAGAACTGTGGTTGAGCAGGCACCTCGTCTGACTCCAGCTTCCGACCTAAAGGCTTGGCGCCACACACAATCCATAGCCCCTCTGTGCCGTCCAGCGGCCCAGTAGTCTCTGGAGAAACGCGTTTCCCAGGCCTCAGCCAGGGGCCTGCGGGCCCGCCCCCAGAGGCGGTACACCGAGGGGAAAATGCCGATCGGCCGAAAACCCCCCTTCTCCTTGGCCAACGAAGCCTCCAGCACTGCCGAGAGCTGGGTCGGAAGAATGCCCGAGCGCTCAGCGAGCGAGAGGATCAAGCTGGGCACCTCCAGGCTGGCATCACTGAGGTACTGAAAATGCCTCAAGTGAAAACCGTCGTAGGACACGGCACTCTTCTTAGGATACTTCCTGCCCAGCTTCCGAAAGAACTCCACATCCAGGGGGGAAGGGGCTCAGAGATTCTGCACCTGAGCTTCGGGGGCGAAACACGGACCTGCCAGAGGCCCGAGTACGTTTTGACCTCAGCGTCAAGCAACTGTCGGGGATCAGACACGACCTGACCCTCCGGCGAGAGGGTGGTAGTGGGCTTCCAGCACAGGGGGTCTTTAACCGCACAATGGGCATTGCGGGCTCCCTGACTAAGTTTATCCGTCAACCAAGCGTGCCAGTCCTGACCAGCCGTACGCTGGCAGCGCTTCGTGCAAGCAGCAAGAACCTCCTTCTGGCGCGCGAGAAGGGCCTCCAGCCTAGCAAGCCTCTCAGCAAGCTGGTCAGAAGGCCTCTCCGCTTCGCTAAGAGAAGGGCCCCTGGCAACATGCGAGGAGCCACCCCCGCCCTCGCCCACGCAAGGGGCGGGGGAGGCGCGTCCTGAAACCAAGTTTTTCAAAATAGCATCCAGCTCAACGCGGGGAGGAGGGTTAAAACAATCCCAGTCCTTGAGCGAGTCCCTGATGTCCTGCAACAGAGAAATGTTGTCCTGGTGGGACAGCTGACCAGGGACCCACTCGGACTGGAGCACGCCCGCCAGCAGCTCGCCAACGGTGCGCCTGGTGAAGGTCGAGGCTTGACCAGCCCAGACCGCGGGTAAAAGCTGGGCAGCAGCACGGAACCTGGAACAAAACCACCTCATGGCACGAAGCTCTGGGCACCGCCTAGCTTTGACATCTTTCTGAAGGATCGCCTTCCAACAAACCTGGGGGTCCTTGCCCCTCGAACCACGGCAGGGAAGCTCCTCCTCCAGCCTCTGACAAAGCTCTCCCTCAGTCTCGTTGGCCCAAATCTGATAGGCCTTGCTCAGAAGACGCCGGACCTCGCTGGCATCCTGGGACCTCAAGGCTTTCTCTCCCCACTCGAGGAACCTGCGGGCCCTCCCGAAGTCACCTGGGGGGGGGGGCAACGCCCGCAGGGGCGCCCACGGGGAGAGGGAGGGGCTTGCGGAAACCCAAGGCCTGCAGGCGGCAGAGGGCAGGGTAGAACTCCAGCTCCACCACGAAGTGCGGCGAGAACTCACTATCGCCGCATCGCTGCACTTGCTTCACACCTCTGGCCAAGCCTCCAGAAACGAAGAAATAATCGCAGTCCGACTGACGAGCGCCGAAACATGTGGGCGCACCAGTCGAGATAAGTTCGCACCTAGCCAGCTCCAACCCGTATCTCGAAGCTCGGGGGGCTCGAGGTTGAAGTCGCCCCCAACGACGTACGAGAGGCATTCGAGAACCACATGGGAGCCTATAGCCTTATAGAGCTCCAACTGCCTGGCCGCGAGGCCCTCCGTGTCGAACCCGTAGACAGAGACGAGCCCAAACTGAACACCCCCTGGGAGATGAGCAACAGCACCCAGAGCACGGCCTTGAAAGATCTGCAGAGGTTGGTGGAGCCCCATGACGGCCCTGGCAAGGATCGCCGCGCCTCCTGACGTGCCTCCTTCAGCCGTCCGAACTGCAGGCCCCCACAGGCTCTTCCACCCATGATCGAGACAAAACTTCGAAGCACGACCAATCGAATCTTGATCAGCCAAATGGTGCTCCTGCACTAAGATGACGCGGGGGGTCTCCGCCGACGGAAGCCAATCACGAAGCGAGCCCCAGCTGTTGCAGTTAGCCGTGGCGATTACCATTCCGAGAGTGTCTTCGTCTGGCCTGGACCCTGGGCCTGGGACTCCTGGGCCCGAGAGATGAGGACAAAAGCTAGAACTAAAGTTGGCTCCATCAAAATTGGACCCCCACCCTTCCCCAATCCCACAAAAAACTACACTCACGCGAGACAGGGGACGGGTCAGGCGGGGAGCCGACGCAGGAGCTCGAGGGGATAGGCCCCTCGCCTTCAGCAGCCACTACCCCCCCCCCACCGCCGTTGGGGGCGGGGGAGCGAAAAGAAGAGTCAGAAGATGAGAGTACCTTCGAGAGCCTGGCGCGGAGAGCAGGGTCGGCTCCCGAAGGCCGCGACGAGCTCGAAGTGCCTCCAGGTGAGGCGGCTGGGGCTCCACCTCCAGCCTCAGAAGTTGCCCGCTCAGCGCCACCTGGCGCTGCAGCGCCAGCTCCTTGGCCAGGTTCTCCAGCACCTTCACTGCCACCAGGTGTGTCGCCCTCCGCGGTCCTCCTCTTCTTCTTGGACAGCCTCTTGAGGTGCTCCTGATGCTCACGGCGAGCAGCCTCCAGGTGCGACGAAGCCTTGCCGAAGAGCTGCTTCGCCATGTCCTTGAGGCCCGAGCGCAGCTGGGCCTTGCGCGCCTCCAGCTGCTCCTTATCCTCCGCGGACATCTCGAACTCCTCTGGCATGTTCGCGCACAGGTCATCGACGAGCTCGAAGCTGAGCTCCTTGCCCTCCGCCAGGTCGCGCAGGCTGATGGTCGGGCCAGAAGACTGCTTGGGCGGCACCGACGAGGCCACCTCCAAGCTGATCTGCTCGACGAGCTCCGAATGCTGCCTCTCAAAGCCATCCAGCTCATCGGCCATCTCCTGGATGGAAGACTCGCGCATGACGGTCGCCTCACGCCAGCGCTACAGTTTCGAGATCTCATTTTCGAGCTTCTTCTCCACCTGGCGAATCTTGCTCTGGGTCTGCGAAGCACGGGTGTGGAGCGAGGCCTCCTGCTGGCGAGATGGCTGGAGAAGCTTCGCCCGAGCGTAGTCGTACTGCTTGGCCAGCTCCAATTGCCCATGGCGTGTGGCGATGGCGGCCAGCTGATGCAGGTCATCCGCGCTGAGGTCCTTGGCGTTGATGCCATCAGAGCCCGCTCCACCACCTCCGCCGACGGGACCTGGAGGAAGCGGAGCGCCGCGAGGGTCACCAGCGTAGTGATGACGAGCGCCAGCACCTTCTTGAGCTGCGGGGCGCAGCGAGCATGCGGCGCCGTTCCATTGAGCTTTGCAGTGCTTGCACTGCCACATCCAGCCCAAGTTGCGCGCACATCCACAGGAAGGGCACCTCCACTTGACATGGCGGTGGGGTGCTGGGCGGCTCTGCCAGGGCGCGGGGGCCATGCGCGCGCGCCGAGACGGGCCGAGCCAAATTGACTCGCGACAGCAACGCCCTTCTGAAGTTCGCTGCCGGCAAGCTCCTCCAAATTGGCTGGAGCCAGAAGGGCCAGAGGAGGAAAATGAGGAGGAGGAGGGGGAGGAGGAGGAGGAGGAGAGGGAACGGTAGACGAGGGGGAGAAGGGAGGAGGAGGAGGCGAGGAGGCGATGAGCAGGAGAGGGAGGCGGGAGGAGAAGGAGGAGGAGGGGGGGAAAAGGAACCGGAATCGGAATCGGAACAATTGCGAAGCAACATCCACCCACTCTAAGCCAGATCCTTGGGCCTGCGGCCCTTCATGAATCTGCTGAGATACTCGCGTCTCTTGCGAGTATTCCGTGACGGCTGGCATTCGGACCCCAACAATCTGAGCTGGTCCTGACCGAAACTGCCACAATCTCTACACATCCACGCACTGACAACAGAGGAGTGCACCATGCTATGGGGTTCATGGACCCAGCCCCCCGCCAAGTGGACCCGCCCCCCCTGTCGGAGGCCTCGAGAGCTCGCTCGTGACGGGAATAGAAGGCGCGCACGGGGTTCCTAGCCAGGCGGTGCGGCCCGCCTGAGATGAGGAACTGTAGCACGTCGAACACTTCCGACCCTCGCTGACGAGGGTGTGGGCAGATGTAAAAAAGAGCAACAGCAGCAGGCCTCGGGGGGGGAGGGGGGGGAGGAGGGGGAGGAGGAGGTGACAGTCCAGGATCGGATGGATCTTCAGGCGACTCCATGGGATGTGACATCGCATCAATAGTGGCCGTCATCAACCTTTTCCGCACCAGACATGCTTTCCTCTCAACCTCCGCCACCTGGGCCCTCTGGGCTTCAAGGACACGACACTGCTTAGCTGCAAACCCTGCCAGTTCATCCGCAACTGTATTCCCGATGCCGAGATGGATGGATCCCCATCTCATGATTCGGTGCCAGGGAGCCTTCAGGAAGAAGATACGCGTTTCCCACCAGCCTCTGACGACCGCTTCATTGTCGGACACAAAGCACACGTAACCCTGCGAGAGCCTGATGGTGACATCCAGAACTCGAAGTTCCCCGACAGGTACCGTCTGCTCGTCTCCAACCAAGGGGCCTGCAACGCCAGGGCCCAAAACTAGAGGTTCGGAACTTCTAGTGACGACAGCTGCGAGCCCTACCCTCCGAAGGTGCCTATTGCGGGTGTCGGGACCCCCCGACGCACCCCCAAACACGAGGAGGGGAGAGGACCAGGACCCAACACCCAGGAACCCAGGACCGAGGGACCCCTCTGGGGCGCCTAGGAGGTTCCAAACCTCGACTTGCGCAGGTCGTTCAACACGAGTCCAGGCAGCTGGTATGATACCCCGATACCAAAAGCACGGTGTCTGCTCCCCTTGGGTGACTGCCTGCATACATAAAAAATCAGTGGCCTCGTACACTGGGTTCCCAGTGTTGGCTGGGCACAAATAGTAGCGGTGAAGTGGGGTCTCGTCCCCGTCACGGCATCTGGGGCGCAACGCGCACTGGATGAGCCCCTCGTCCTTTCTCCGTGAAAGAGGCCTCGAGCCGCCAACGGCAACGTTAAGAAGAACCTCGACTAACTGTTGACCCCCTTTCTTGACGCCCTGGAGTTCCTTGATGAGATGCCGAAGTGACGTGTTGTCGGGACCTTGCTCGAGGCCTTCGCCGCAAAAATGCTTCCTGGCCTCCCGCCGCTGAAGACAGGCGTTGGCAGCAACAAAATCGGCTAGGAGCCCACGAGCCTGGTCAAGCGCAACTAAATCTGCGTCCGAAAAAATCCAATCAAAATCCTCCCTATCATTCGCGTGCGGCACGTGCCACGCGTCAGGAGCCGTTGGAGTCCACCCCACACGAAGGAGGTGAGCGATCAGAGCTGACATGGGACCCCTCACGTGCCTAGCATGCTGGGAAGGGTCGAGCGACTGGAAATGCTCAACAACTTTGGGCCACGCCCTGCGGATGCCAGGTCTCAAGTGAGGCTTATGAATCCAAGCGCGCAGCCACGCCTTAAGGCAGGAGACATGGATGCTGATACCAGGGTCGTACCCAGGGGTGCGAATGTCAAGAAGCGAAGACAGGCACCTCCCCTTCTTGGTAGCCCCTGAGACAGCCCCCAACCTCATCCTAAGGGTAAACAACTGATGCCCAAAGCACCCATACACAACCATACCATAAGTAGAAGCCGCCTGGGGCCCCGCCAGCTCGACCTTTTTGGTGACCATGTACCGTTTAGACGCCCGAGCGAAACTGCGTAACTTGTCATGCTGCGACTTGCTTTTGATGACTTGGGAGGACGAGGAGGCGGGAGGAGGAGGAGGAGGAGGAGGAGGAGGAAGAGGAGGAGGAGGAGGAGGCGGGAGGAGGAGGAGGAGGAGGAAGGGAGGAAGGAGGAAGGGAGAGGACAGGAGGAGGGAAGGGAGGAAAGGGAGGAAGGGAGGAAGGGAGGAAGGGAGGAGGAGGAGGAGGGAGGAAGGGAGGAAGGGAGGAAAGGAGGAGGAGGAGGAGGAGGAGGAGGAGGAGGAGGAGGAGAGGGAACGGGAGACAAGGGGGAGAAGGGAAGAGAGGATGAGGTGAGGAGGGACGATGAGCAGGAGGGAGGCGGGAGGAGAAGGAGGAGGAGGAAGCGGAGGAGAAGGAGGCGGGAGGAGGAGGAGGAGGAGGAGGAGGAGGAGGAGGAGGAGGAGGAGGAGGAGGAGGAGGAGGAGGAGGAAGGGAGGAGGAGGAGGAGGAAGGGAGGAAGGGAGGAAGGGAGGAAGGGAGGAAGGGAGGAAGGGAGGAGGAGGAGGAAGGGAGGAGGAGGAGGAGGAGGAGAGGGAAGCAGGAGATGCGGGTGGGCGTTGGCCTCTCTCCACGCGAGGCGAGCCGAGGCGGGGCTCAGCGTCCCCCCCCCCCCCTTAGTTGAGCAGGGGCCGACCGCCCGGGCACTCCTTTGGACGCCCGAAATGGGTACCGAAAGAATGGGTACAATGCCCAACAGCAAATGTTGTCCCAAACCGACAGCGGCCGCTGTTGGGCAGGCGGCCTCCTGTCTCCAATGGACACAGGCCGCGGCGGCGTGGACAGCGAGCCCTGTTCAGAATGAACAGGATCCGCTGTTGGGCATTGTACCCATTATTTCAGTACCCATTTCGTGCGTGCAGAACTCCTGTGGGCCTACCTTTAAGTCGGGCGCGACCCCCTACGGGGGGATTTTCGATGGAAAATAATCTAAATAATACCCCACAAATGTTCCAAACGGGTCAAAGATATCAGAACAATCATCCCCATACTATGTTTTGACTATTCTTGAACATTCCTCCTGTAGAGGGACGGGCCCGACTGAAGCCTACCACGACAGGTTCTTAGAACCCCAAAGTGTTCATATCACAAAAAACAATGTTCTGAGAACATCAACGCGATACGCTAAGACAAGACAGTCTCAGCAGGAAATGTTCTAAGAGCATCTCGTGCAGACCACACAAGGTTCTTAGCACATTCTTTGGTGGGCCCATAGGCAAGCCGGGACGCTTCGCCACTGCTTGACCCAGGGGGGCGGCTTAGGCCCACACTCTGGCCGACTTCCCACGAGCCCGCCGGTAGCTAGCCGCCAACAACCGCCGCCAGTTTTCACACCCTTAGTGGGCCCTGGAGACGATAGGGCCGTTTTTGTTGCCGGTTCCTTTTTGCCGCCTTGTTGCCGGTTCCGGCGCCGTTTTTGCTGCTGGTTCCGTCGCCGTGTTTTTGCCAGCCCGGCTTCGGTTCCAATCCTGGATGCGTTTTTGGCCGTTTCAGGTCGCCGATTTTTGCCGGTTTCATTTTCAAAAGTTTCGCCGTCGAAACCGGTGAAGAAAACAGCCCTGCCGTTTCTGGGGCCCACTTTGTTCACACTCCCTCCTCACCAGCATCGTGTCCACCGTTCGGCCGTCCCTTCTTTCCTCCCCTCGCCTCTCGCTTGCTCTTCCCACCCCCCGGCGGCCAGGAGAGAGGGCCGCGAGGGCCGCATCCTGCTGGAGTGAACCAAGAAGGTCCGCAGCTTCGGGCTACGAGAGGGAGGCGGGAGCCGTCGTCCCCTGCAGGCATGCGACGTCCAACGTCTTGATTTTTTCGGGACGGCGTCCCTGAAGTCTCGACCCTTTCCCCGGGGCTCGTTTTTCATCCAGAATAATTGTTTTGCGCTCCTGCGGACTGGCGAGGGCCCCCAGGGGCCGAAACTAGCGAAATACTTGCCGTCCTGGGCTCTTCACGGCGCGGTTCTGCCTGGGGGCGGGAGTCGCCGTCGTTGCCGCCGACGTCGACGCAGCCCCTGGTGGCCAGGGCCAGCGCCGCGGCCGCCAGGGGCGCCCGCGCCATCGCGCGCCTCCGATGCGCGCGGTCGCTGGAGGAGGCCCGATGCGCTGCGGAGGGCGCGCGGCGCGGCGGCGCGACGACCTCGGGGCCTGGCGCCCAGCCTCCGCCCTTCTCGACCCTTGTCCTCGTTCTACCCCTCCTCGCCTGTTCTCCTTCAACTTCTTCTTCCTCCTCCTCCTCCTCCTCCTCCTCCTCCTCGTCCTCCTCCACCTCCTCCTCCTCCTCCTCCTCCTCCTCGCTCCTCGCTCACACTCCTCCTCCTCCTCGCTCCTCGCTCACACTCCTCCTCCGCCCTCTCCTTCCTCCTCCTCCTCCTCCTCGTCGTCGTCGTCGTCCTCTCCTCCTCCTCCTCCTCCTCCTCCTTCTCCCCCCTCTCCCC